ACAGTTATTTTCTCCCGTAATGTTTATGTTAAACTCATGGCAAATACATTAAGGGAAACACATGGCAAATGAGTTAAAACGTTGTGACAAATGTTTGTTGTTCGGTTGCGAAGGACGCTAAGAAGTGGAGTTTCTTTCAACTGAACCGTTTGTATAAGTTTTTACTAAAAGACTAAATAGTTTCAGAAGTCAACAGTTTTCATTTTGATTTAGATGTTGATTAACTTTTTAAAAAAACTTTAATATTCAAGTATGTGAAACACATAAATAAGCTTACAGTCAAACAAGCTCACGCGTTGACCCCTAGATTCGATTTAAATGATTTGAATTTTCGAATGTTGATTTCATTATTCAGTTGAAATTTACAACGTCGAAAACGAAGATATGAAAATTCCAATCAACTTTAAATTCAATATACGACATTTTGATTGGTTTATCAGTGCTAACACAGCCGGAAGACCTAGAAAACATGGCGGCCAGAAATAGTCTTGGACGTGTTTATGTGCCGGGAAAGCCTTAACCTGATATTATTCGACAGGAATTTGTTCATCTCAGCAATAGCGGATTGTCCAATAAGGCAATTTCGTGACAACTGAAAATTTCTAGTTGGGGAGTCCAGAAAATACTTCAACATTATCGACGACATGGAACTGTGTCTCCATTTCGCTCAAGGCGGGAGCGTTCCCTACAAAATTTATCCTCCAAGTAATTGAGGCATGGAAATTACAAAACCTAGTGTATATGCTTATTAAATAAGAGAGCGACTTCTGCTCGAAGGTATCTGTAATTTAGATGATTTACCTTCTTCATCACTTCACGAGTCGAATAATGAACTGAATTTTCATTTGAATATTGCAATATTCCGGTTCGTACGTATAAAAGGAATAATTGACTAATGATTTCATTAATCGAATCTAGGGGTCAACGCGTGAGCTTGTTTGACTGTAATCAATCAGAACTGAATGGCGTTTTGAATTCATTATTTCAATCCAAAACGATTTGATCGATTACAAAAACAGTTAGCATTTCATACGCTAAACGTAGCCACTGATATTTCCACTTCATGTTTATACACAGTTATTAGATACCATAAACAAGAATTTAAAACGATTTTCTACTATTCAAGACAGGGTAAAGGCGTTTGTTTGAAAAAGTCCGTGACACCCATGTGTCATCAGGCCGGCCCAGCCAAATTCGTAGTACTAGCGACGCGCATAGTTTTAATTTCTTTTTTGATCATAATCTTTTATTCGGTGCTCAAGACAACTTTTTAAACTATACTCTTTTAAATTAACTATGTANTACCGGATACCTTATTAAGAATCTGTCAGTTATGGACTAGCCCACAAAGAGCTCTAACTTGGACACTTTTATTAGAATATTGTAGATGAATTTGAACAAAGGTTAAAGGCAATGGAAAACTATCAAGAAGTTATTGGTCATATTTTTGGATGGGTTGAAAAGTTGTACTTGAATATTTGCAGCAACACATCATACTTCGCCTCTGACCTAGCTAGAGATTGGCCAACATGATATAATTCTTAGTAATAGATAATAGAATGACTCAGCAGGTCTAGCTCAATTAGTTATATACAGATAGTTACAGCATTGATTTTCCATGAAGTAAATAGTTGAATGGTAAAATATTTTTAAATGATTTGGGTGATATGCTTCTTGGAGATATCATTAGGGTGCATTTGACTTGTCATCATTTGTAAATTGAATCACTGGTTGCAGTTTGCAGCCTATTATAGAAAACAAATTTACAATAACGTTTCTCTTAAACCATGACTAAGACAATGATATTTTATACAGGGGTGGCGGAAGCTGAAAATCTTTGGGGGGGGGGGGGCACACTAACGCTATGTGATAATGACCGCTGTTTTGTTTGATTGCAGCGCATGCGCCGTAAAACTGTGACTGAGAACCAATATTTTGTGGGGGGCCACCTATAACCTGCGTAGCCGGCCATCTTTTCGGACCTGAAAAGGGAAAAGAGGGCCGGCCACGCAGGCCAGGGGCCACCCAGTTCCGCCACCCCTGCATACGGTATATTTTACTGCCCCAAAAAAGTTTTGTATATTTTTATATATGCCTCCTATGATAACACTCATTAACATATTGGAAGTATAAACCTTGAGATCTCCAAGATGCATCAATAAAATTAAATTAAAATATTTAACTATTCAGCTATTCTGTGTAGAATCAATACTGAAAATGTTGATTTACATGTCATAGGCACTATAAACACCCAAGCTAGGAGATGTATTTATCAAAATGTCATTTTTTTTCTTTGCAAGAATAATATACAAAAAAGTATTTGGTCTTGAATTTTTCCCACTCAAGCCAAAGTATTTCATGATTAACACGATTATGATCATTTATAGAACAATGTATGTGTGGCTGGGATAAAGGTCTTGAAAGATTTAACTAACTTTGAGAAGATTATCATAGTCTGAGTATGTCTGCATTATACACATACTGGGGGAAATTCTTCCAAGGTATTTTTTCAATATGACCCAAATGCCTTGACTTGAAACAATTGAAGGCAATAGAGGTTTTGCACCACCATGTGACAGCAACCATATATGTTAGATGGCAAGAACAATACAGTCGTTTTACACAAGAAAGGATTCAATTCCCAAGAGCAGAGAGATTATTGTTCTGCCATGTGACCACAGGAAGCCCAAGCAGAATTATGTGATGGGCACATGATATGGTGCAAAAACTCTAGAGTATAATAGTTCTAATATGTGCTATTGAGGATTCTTGTTTTTCTGTATCTTGAAAATATCCTGGGTCTGAGGGTGTTTTGTAAAGGTAAAAAAATTATGCAGATTTTGACAAACATGAGTGAAAGTTATCCCTAATTTCAGGAATTAGGAATGTGATTACTAACTACACAGTGATATCATAAACGACAAATTATATACAGCAGAGAATTCTGGCAGTCATAATTATATTTCCTTTTATTATACGTACCACGACGCATTAGGACAGGCCAGTTTAGATAGTCTGTTTGATTGGGGCAGGAGCAGACAACTATTAGATTATTTCAAGAATTTGCAAAAATTAGACTTTTGAAGTTTGCATTGGGTTTCCCAACCATTCCCCTCTATTAACTATGTTCTGAGGTTAGGTTTTCTCTTAAGCTTGTACTTTTTCTGGATTTTCTAACCCTTTTCATCACATCAGTTTTGAAATACTTTCCATTAATTATTGATGCATTTTTGGGGTACTAAATTCTTTGCTGACTTGGTGATTGAAA